CCTCCTTCTCCCTCCTTCCCTCTCCCTCTCCTCCCTTCTCCCTCCCTCCCTCTCCCTCCTTCTCCCTCCTTCCCTCTCCCTCCTTCTCCCTCCTTCCCTCTCCCTCCTTCTCCCTTCTTCCCTCTCCCTCTCCTCCCTTCTCCCTCCCTCCTCTCCCTCCTTCTCCCTCCTTCCCTCTCCCTCCTTCTCCCTCCTTCCCTCTCCCTCCTTCTCCCTCCTTCCCTCTCCCTCCTTCTCCCTCCTTCCCTCTCCCTCTCCTCCCTTCTCCCTCCCTCCCTCTCCCTCCTTCTCCCTCCTTCCTCTCCCTCCTTCTCCCTCCTTCCCTCTCCCTCCTTCTCCCTCCTTCCCTCTCCCTCCTTCTCCCTCCTATCCACCCCTTCCCCTATACTATTCCCTACCCCATACCCTCCTACCCATTTCCATCCCCTCCCCATTCCCTCTTTCGTCCCTCCCTCTTATCTTTCCCTTCCCCCCCCCTCTTTTCATATTCCAGGACCCCCTCCCCACCCCCCTAACCCCTCTCCATTCCCTCTCTATTGCCCCCTTCCCTTCCTTTTCCTCCCCCCCCCCCCACCCCTTTTTTCTTACTCTCCAATCCTCGCTTTTTCCTTTCCCTTCCTCCCCCCTACCTTTCTTACCCCTTCCTATCTTCTCTACCTCCACCTTTCATCTTCCACCCCTCCTCCTGCCCCTCCCCCTCCCCCCTTCCCCACCCCCTGCTTTTCACCCTCCTCCTCTCCCCCCTCGTACCCCTACCCTCTGCTTTTCACCCTCCCCCCCTCCTCCCCTCCCCCACCCCTTCCCCCACTCCCAAACCTCCCCCTCCCCCCTCTCCTCTTCCCTCTCACCTATACCTCTCCCCTCCCCCTCCCCTTCCCCCTCACCTATACCTCTCCCCTCCCCCTCCCCTTCCCCCTCACCTATACCTCTCCCCTCCCCCCTCCCCACTCCCCCTCACCTATGTACTTTTCCCTCCCCCTCACCTATACCTCTCCCTCCCCCCTCCCCCCTCCCCCCCTCACCTATGTACCTCTCCCCTGCCGCTTCCATCTCCATCCCCTCCCTTCCTCCCCTCCCCCCCTCCCCCTCACCTATGTACCTCTCCCCTGCCGCTTCCACCTCCATCCCCTCCCTTCCTCCCCTCCCCCCCCTCCCTCCCTCCCCGCTGTGTTGCATCTGTCCGTACTAAAGGCAATGAAATCTTACATAACCAGTGGGTCTTTTTATACCCGGGTTCACGCACTTGGCATTATAATGATAGTAACAAAAAAATTTTCCAGATTGTATATAGAGCGCCCACGCTTTAAAAGAAAAAAAGAAAGGATAGTTGAGAAGAAGAAAAAAAAAGAGAAAGAAGAAAAGAGTGGAGAAGAAAAAAAAATAAGAAGAAAAAGCAGAGAAAAGTCACGAACGTCGCTTTATAAGAAAATGAGAGAATATTATGCAAAAGAAGATGTGAGGAAAATACGTTTTTTTTCTTTTCTTTTTTTTCTTGTTTTTTTTTCTTTTTTTTAAGGTAATGCTGTCCTTAGAGCGAGAAAGCGAGTGAGTAACTGTGTATCTGTCTGTCTGCCTGCCTGTCTTTCTTGAGTTTTTACGTGGGTACGTTTCTGGGAGTGATGGGTGTGTACCTTGTGTGTGTGTGTGTGTGTGTGTGTGTGTGTGTGTGTGTGTGTGTGTGTGCAAGTTTATGTGCGTCTATTTGTGTGTGTGTGTGTTTATGTGCGTTTCTTTGTATGTGTGTGCCTTTATGAGCGTTTCTTTGTGTGTGTGTGTGTGTGTGTTTATGTGCGTTTCTTTGTGTGTGTGTGTGTTTATGTGCTTTTCTTTGTGTGTGTGTTTATGTGTGTTTCTTTGTGTGTGTGTGTGTGTGTATGCCTAAGTACATTCTTTTTTTGTGTGTGTACTTGTTTGTTTATGTGTGTGTGTTTGTGCGTCGATGTGTATTTTTGTGCCTTTTTTATTATTTCTTTTTTTGCCTGATGTGTGAACATCTATATACGTGTATTCTTGTATGTGTGTCTGTGTGCGTATCCTTTCGTATGTGTCTGTGTACGTGTGTGTTGTGTGTATGTAATGGTGGAGTTAATGAACGAGAAGTTATATTCAATTGAGTATTTCTTCTTCTTCTTCTTCTTCTTCTTTGTCTTCCTATATTAGTACTTTTCTGAACTCTCATCATGAACGTATCCCATCATGCCAGCGACATCTGGTGTGCGCCAACGAGCTTAACCTCAAGAGTAACAGACACGTGATAACTTCCCCCCTCCCCCCCCTCCCCCCTCCCCCAGCCATCCTCCCGTTCTTGTTGCAGGATTCATTTTGCAAGAAGGAAACGAGAGCTGATGTGTCATTCAAGCTTATCTTGACTTACCAACTACAATTTTTTTTTTCTTGTTTTCTTTTTCTTTGTGCCTTTTTTATGGGATGGGAAGAGTTTGGACAATTGTTTTTTTTTCGCTTTCAAGCTTGTTTTTATTCTCTCTTCTCTCTTCTCTCTCTCTCTCTCTCTCTCTCTCTCTCTCTCTCTCTCTCTCTCTCTCTCTCTCTCTCTCTCTCTCTCTTTCTTTCTCTTTCTATCTCTATCTATCTATCTATCCCTCTGTGTCTCTCTCTGTCAATCTGTCTGTCTGCCTGTCGCTCTCTCTCTCTCCCTTCTCTCTCTCTCTCTCTCTCTCTCTCTCTCTCTCTCTCTCTCTCTCTCTCTCTCTCTCTCCCTCTTTCTCTCTCTCTCTCTCCTTCTTCTTCTTCTTCTTCTTCTTCTTCTTCTTCTTCTTCTTCTTCTTCTTCTTCTTCTTCTTCTTCTTCTTCTTCTTCTTCTCCTCCTCCTCCTTCTCTATCTCTCTCTATCTCTCTCTCTCTCTAATTATCTGTTTGTCTGCCTATCGCTCTCTCTCTGTGTCTGTCTGTCTGTCTGTCTATCTATCTCTCCCTCTCTCTCTCTCTTTTCTCTCTCTCATTTTCCTTTTTTTCCTTCTCCAACAATTGTAAATGAAAACGAGCAGCATCAGTTCAGTCTTTCGTAATATCTAAGCATATGGTCAGCGACATGACTCAAAAAAAAAGGAAAAAAAAAGTGTATTGCTGCAGATTGCTTTGGGGAAGGATAGCCTGTCTGCAGAGTACAGTTCTCAGTGTCTGTTTCATATTCGGACTATTTTCGGTTTATTTCCACGTTCTGT